AAAGGGTAGGAAGTAATGCCTATGGCCCTCACTGATTAGGTGGGCGGTCGGGTAGCCTAGTGGTTAAAGCGTCCGCTCGTCACGCCGAAGACATGGGTTCAATTCCCGACATGGGTAAAATGTGTGATGCCCATTTCTGGTGTCCCCCGCCGTGATATTGATGGAATATTGCTAAACGCGACCTTAAACAATACTCACTCACTCACTGATGAGGTTAATCTGATCTGTGTGCCATGCACAGTCTGCAGATGAGCAGATGGATGTTGTATTTCCCGCTACCCGACGCCAGTGACATTGTGACTGACATAATCTCCAATGTTCTTGCAGCTTATCTGAAATTCAGAGAGAAGTATCCGGATCTGACGTCAGAGCTGAGCCTCGATTCCGTGAGACCAGCTTTAGAGAGGGGCTATCCCCGGGTGCTTCCAGCCAGGGATAATCAGGTGGAATACTGGTTAACGGGGGACTAGGCTCTGGCAAATTGACAGTCCAAGCAAGTTTGATTCACGTCAAATCGTGCGATAATTATCGGATATATATAATGCAATAAGCAAGGGGTGATATTAATATTAGACTCCTTGATGTGAGTGAATCTAAACTGCCAGGCAATTGAAAGTATACATCCATGATTGTAGCTAAAAATGAAATATACAAGAAATAGTTATTCGGGTACCGTGGTTGTGTCTTTGGACTATAAGTTTGCAGTGTGTCGACGACTGTTTTATGCTAAGTTGGTTGGTTGGTTTGTTGTTTAACGCCGCACTCAGCAACTTAGAGTTTTCTACAAAGTAAAATTTTGACAGCGTTTGTAACAGTTTGGTAAAATCCATTTTCAGGTGTATACTTTCTTTTACCCGACAGTTTAGTTAGAACACGTGAAATTCCAGCATTTGTCACAATACCTATTACTGTCGTCTAAAGAACAACCCAACACTGAATTAGTGCACTCGTATGTGTGTCATACTATCAGTGTGTGACCATAATGAATTACAATTGATATGTTAGCGTTAAGGACAAAAATATAAAAATACAATGTCTAGGTCATGCAACGAATACAGTATATATACCCTCTTTAACGTGGAACACTACGCGGATGTTAAGTCATATAAGTTCTTTGAGACACGAATTGTCATTTCACGTGTTATCCCTGTTTCAGGGGCGAATAGTGTTCCTGTTCTCCATCGGGTCATGGGATGCTGCGGAAGTACCGTTCGATGACGTCATGCGGGCGTACATCTACCTGCTGGAGGTCCTGCTGGAGAACGCGGAGAACCAGGTGTCTGGGTTCGTCATCGTGGAGAACTTCCACCAGTACACACTCAGCCAGGCCATGTCTCTCAAACCCTCCGACCTGCAGAAGATGGTCAGCATGCTGCAGGTGAAGTCCAGACCATTTAATTTTTTAGGAGGTTTGGGGTGTTTGTTTGATTTTTTTCAGTTAGCGTTTCGAGACATAAAAGCCCTTCTCGATGAAAGAAGGGCAAAACAATTCTTTTGAACACACAAATTTGAACAAGTAATTTTCATCCAACATTTTAAGTTTCTGTTAAACCTGCCTCACAGGTTGAATACATTCGAGGGAGCTGAGAAGGAAAATCGAGTCCGCACATCGAGCATGGAAACAACGCAGTACAAATGGATTATTATTATTATCTACAGATTAAAATATATAAAAAATGCAGCAAAGAGGGTTTGGGTGATCCTGGCACAGTAAGGCTGGTTTGGCTCATCATCAGCTCAGGGCCCTTGCCCCCTCTACACGCAGCCCAGACAGCGAATGGGACTTCTCCCAGGAAGCGCTGCCTAGTCAAACCCACCCAGAACTTTTCGGAGAATGTGAAGACTCCCCAACACTCCAGCCTTCTGCACTACCAAGATTGTCAGAAGGGCTGTATTCCTGGTTACAAATCCGGATACTCTCCCAATGTCAGTCAACAGATTGGGAGGTACACAAAAACCTAAGGCACCGAGAACAATGGGGAATCGGACAACTTGGTACTTGGGATGCAAGCCTGACGTTCTGAAAGCGAGGTCTGCATATTTGCCATGTTTTTCCTGAATCTTGTCAATGACATTAGTGTCACAAGGGACAGAAAACTCAATAATATAAATGATTGCATTAGATTTATCAAAAAGAACAAGATCGGGTTTGTTGGCCTGGGTACGTCTGAGGCTGTATACGGGCCCGTTCCAAAGAATTTTGTATTTATCATTTTCCATGACGTCCTCTACATATTCTGGATTGTACCATGGATGGAAATCAAAACAACAGTCAAGCATTGCGAAGGCAGTAATAAAATGATCGAGCCACTCCACCATGTCGTTTAAGATACTGTGTATTATTATTATTATTATTATTATTATTATTATTAATGTTGTTGTTGTTTTGGTTGTTGTTTTCAAGCATATTATTTTTTACAAATCGTGCTTTAAAAAATATTTCAGTTATATCACTATCAAAAGTGACGCAGATCTTAGAGGTTTAAAACAAGGTGGATGAGCCAAAGACATAATCAGGGATTATTCATATACTTGTCACGATCGTTGGATCCGTGCATGACTAAGGAACGCATTTCTCTGCTGGACTACATAACCATAATTCATTTAGTGCAATATTAACCGTATTTTAAATCCGTGCTTGTATTGTCATTGCAGGGTGCTTTCCCAATACGGTTCAAAGGTGTTCACTTTTTGTATCAACCCTGGTATTTTTCCTGGACATACGCACTCGTTCGACCCTTCATGAAAACCAAGATGACAGAGAGGGTATTGATGCAATGTCTTTGGTTAACGTAAATGTCATGTATGTGATGTGTTGTTGAAGTTATGAAAAATACAATATGCAAATATTTTTCATTACGGATTAAGATACAAAGCCATGGATAATGTGACAGTTGTTGTATGGAAACGGCAATGGTGTTTTGGTCTGTATTTTCATAAGTACTTAAACATATTATTTCTTTTTACAGGTCCACATTCACGGTTCGAACCTCGAAAAGTTTCACCAAGCGTTGGATCCGTGCACTCTGCCACCAGACTTTGGAGGTAACGGACCAGAGCTCTCTCCCATAGAAATGATTACCTTGCTGGAGAAAAATGGGGAATTATAGACAATGTTAGAGTTATGTCAATATAACAATAGCCCCCCAAAAACAATGTACACGTATTCAACACGACCATGTTCCTAAATAAAATAAACGGAACCAAAATGCTTTGAGTACATTTTGTCCTTGGCAGAAATGAGTAACATTATCAACGTTTGGCGAAGACAATTCCATCTCGACTAAACACACGTTATGCGGAACCACGATCAGCGATCCTGAAAGTGATTGGGGAGGACGGAATATTTCTCAAAATATCTTCTGAGAGAAATACCAAGTTCAGCACCACCCAATTATTTCATGTTACTTAAGGAGGCACGGGTGGCCCAGTCGTCTAAGGCGCGATTCGCTGTGCAGAGTTGCATCCCTTGGTCACGTCAGAAGCCTTTGATTGTGGGATCGAATCCCGGTTCGCCCGGTTTAGAGTAACATATGTATATAAAGCCCTACACTTGGGATAACAAATTCTTCTAAACAGTGCAACACCCAAATTTCTTGATGACTAGAGTTATGTTTTCTATACACTGCTGCGCGTTAAAAGAGCGATTACAAATCCATTTGTGTTAAATACTCAGTAAATGTGAGTGTCATGCCCTAAAGTGTCTACTGTTTGTCAAGGTCAATTTAAGAAAAGACTTGCAAAAATGTACTACCCACGGCGGGACTCGAACCCGCAATCCCCTGCTATCACCACTGTCTTTGTGTAGGAGGCCGGTGCCTTATCCATTGGGCCACGTGGGCTTGGCGAATACAACCTGTTTTCTACACTTGGGATAACAAATTCTTCTAAACAGTGCAACACCCGAATTTCTATATGACTGGAGATACAGTATATTTTCCCTACACTGGTGCGCGTTAAAAAAGCAATTACAAATCCATTTGTGTTTAAATATTCTGTAAATGTGAGTGTCGATCATTTCTTAAAGTGTCTACCGTTTGTTAAGGTCAATTTAAGAATATAACTGCAAAGCAGCAATGGCGAGCTCCAAGTAACACTGCACACAACCGTCCATGTTCGAATCCTCAAAGGGTTTCCTTGTACCAAATCCGTGAAATGTAGGCAACACTTGCAGGGTATCACCGCTACGAAACTGGAGTGTGCCGGGGTGTCCAAATCAGTTCTAAACCCATTTCCGACCTCGACCATGTTCGAATCCTCAAAGGGTTTAGTTGTACCAACTCCGTCAAAATGTCGCTACGAAAATGGCGTGTTCCAGGGTTATATTACCACCAAGCGGTGTTACCTTTAGCATGCAACCAAGAACCAAAAATGAGGTACATATATCCGACTAACTTACTTCATGTAAACTTTCATAAGTTTCTATGGAGAACCTTACAATATATGATCTTTAAAGTAAAATTTTGGTGAAAAAAAATGATACAAATCAAAATCCTATATGGCCGCAACTAAAAATGATATCCGAAAACGGCTCTTAGAATTTGTTGTGTTATGTGTGGAGAGGATTCTCAGAACGTTTTGAAGCATTTCATATAGTAGATTCAGAGGAGTATGCATTTGAAGACAGGTACCCAAAAGACACTGTGAAACCTTGAATCCAATATGGCCGCAACTAAAACAGATATCCAAAGACGGCTATTAGAGTTTGATGTGTTATGTATTGAAACATACTTTCTCAGAAAGTGTGAAAGCATTCCATTCAGTAGATTCAGAGGAGTACGTATTTGAAGACATGTACCAAAACACACTGTGAAAACATTGAATCCAATATGGCTGCCAAACCATTAAACCAATGACCAAAGTTAAAGAATATGAAATGTCAATCACCTAAAGCAGCAGACACATGCAAAGTTTGAAAGTAATCAGACGAGCGGTTGCGGAGCAATAGGGCAAACTATATTTTCAAAACTTTAGTTATCTGCCCTTGGTCGTTGGGCCTTATACCTTGGAATGTTTTTCGTATCTAGAACACAACTGTTTTCATACACGTGCAAAATCTGAACGGAATCGGGCCAGTGGTTACTTTGCTAGCTCTGGTACAAAAATCAGCGGAATACTAATAATAAATAAATCGGCCGATTACAATAGGGCTTCAAGCCTTTCGGCTCGGAGCCCTAATAATGTGTCAAAAGATACTTCACTATTTCCCTTTCCAATGGTCCTCTCGCGAGCGCGAAGAACCTTGTGTAAACATATCGCGTACAAAGTCAAGGACGAAAGTAAGGGACGTTATTCTAAATGACAACGACGATACCTTTGATCGAACGGCAGGTGTTTAGCATTATAGATGCGTGTTCACATATGACGTTACGTGATGTTCTGGGTCAGTTTGACAATACTGAACGTTTGTTGCGTTTATGTCAAAAGTCAAATTGATACTGAAACTCGTCTGCGAGTTATTATTATCAGTTACATTATCTGTTGTTATGTCAACATTATGTTTTTTTCAGAGTGTAAACCCCCTGCATGCCGCAGCGACACATATGTCCCTCCTCTTCAACCCTCACTTCGAAATCGAATAAAATTCAAAATACATCACGCAGACTAATACACTTCACAGTTTTGAATTTCCCCTTCTGTTTATCATTTACTTTCATTTTAGGCAGTTCAAAATTACTGGTTGTTTAACACCGCACTCAGCAATATTCCAGCTATATGACGGCGGTCTGTAAATAATCGAGTCTGGACCAGACAATCCAGTGAATAATATCATGTGCATCGATCCACGCAATTGGGATCGATGACATGCATCAACCAAGTCAGCGAGCCTGACCACCCGATCCCGTTAGTCGCCTTTTAAGACAAGCATGGTCACCTTTTACGGCAAGCATGGGTTTGTGAAGACCTATTCTACCCCGGAATCTTCACGGGTCTCAAAATTACCGAAAGTGACTTCTGAAAATTAGGTACATTGTAAATCTCGCCAAATCACAATTCACCGCGTTATATAAATATTGACTGTGTTTAGAAATCTAAATATCGGATATTTACTCGAATAATTAAAGTAGAAAAATAGCATATTGGCGATCACGGGTATCAAGTCACTAATAATAATTCTGAAACGTCGCTGATAAGCCTAGAATCGTTTAGAATGTTTTGGAAAATACGCATACACGAACGTCGAAGTGTACGTTCCGCCATATTGGATTGTGTTTACAAAATGCCGGTTATGAGACGCCTATTCGATCAGGTATATATCAAACTCAGCTGCTATACATGTGTTGTGTTATGTTTGTTTACATATGGTGAGCGCCAATGTGCACGCGCTACTACGTCACATGCCCCAGCATTGGGAGTGACGTCATGACTATGTACCTGCAGTTCGTCACGAAAAAATCATTGTTGAGTTTGGACGTCTTGTTGCTTGATGTTCCTCCCAGCCTAGGTGCGGGCCGTACAAGTAAGTACCTGAGCATGATGTGCAGTTTTACAAATACATTACAACATGCATCCCTGAATTCCTCATACATTTTTTAAAACAATGGATAAATGGTCTTTGTCACCAATGCAAATTATCTAGATAAAATCATGCGAAATACATTAGGTATGGAAACGAAAACTGTGCTCGGAAAACTCTACTTGCTGAAATGTAAACAAAGCAAAATTCAGATTTTACACTGTGTAGCATTTTTAGAGGTACTTTGTACTAATTGTGGCATACATTGGCTCGATCACGCGTTTGAGAATATTCATGGGAAGAGTATTGTTGCACTAATTATGGAAATACACATGTATACATTACAATGATGTGGTAAATTCAACAGAAGCCGTAAAAGTTTCCGTCCTGTGTGACGCCATGACTAACGCTAAATCACGCACAACGATGACGGTAGTTAAATCTATCTGCATTTCTGACTAATTCCCTTTGTTACATTGGAAAACATGGTAAACAAATAACAGTATGCAGGTTGTCAGAATGTTTCTGATTACTTACGTGACACATTTATGTGTATACGATCCCTCAATCAACGAAAATCCTTCTCTGGAAATCCCGCGTACTGTTGTCAGTGAACACGCCATTTTGTAAAAGTCGGTCACCGGTAGTGATGTCATACGGAAGTAAACATTGGTAATTTCTTTGAGGTGTAAACTTTCAACTTGGCACCCAGCGTGATCTTTGTTTTTGTCTAGTTTGCATTTTCATCATCGCCATGATAATCCACAGATATGACGGAAACCTTTTTGTGTAGGGTCACATTATTTATTGAGTAGTAAGCAGCTCATAGGATGACGTCACTTATGACAATGGTATTATGTATTAATGCGCTACTGCAATCATGAGAATAGACAAAATGCATCGGTTCGATGCTAAAAAGGTGCGATTTTAGGGTGTGTAAGAAACAGATTACTGCACTCGTGCCTGTCAGATACAATTGATCTTACAACTCTTTCGCTCGTTAGATACGTTTTGAAACAACTCGTAAGATCAATGGTATCTGACAGACACTCGTGTAGTAATCTCTATATCCAATATATTTCACGAATAAACAAAGGCCTCAAATTCAATTTCAAGCCATTTGTATTTGGATGACGATTTGCTTTTATCTATCTATATCCATAATTCTTTCCAAATTTAAAAGTGGCACTAATTTATGTTCACAAAGGGAGATAATTTAGGAATTGTCAAGTTACATGTATGTTGTCTAGTGGAACACGCCAACGTTAACATGAACACACATATAATGTAGTCCTTTTCGATCTGTTTAAAGCAATTAGAGCTATTAAACTGATTTGTAGTATTTGCATGATTGACTGCCCATTTTTTATTTCATTTTTGAAATCGACAATTTGAAAATACAATACAAGTATATGTTAATGTTTTACTGTCAAAATCTCAATAAATTGCTATATTTAATGGAAAACGTCTATGCCGTTGCTCGGCTGTTTTTAAAGAACACAATTGTTCAACAGACAATAATCACTTCTAATCAAATATTTGTCTAGATAATCGAGGTGCTGTTTTTAAAACGAAACAAAACACAATTACTTTTGCTTGAATAATTATGAAATATACACTTTATACAAATACATTATACAAATATATAGTATGCGTTTTCTTGTTAAAACAATAAATACTACACTGTATAGTTATAATTCAGTTGTTAACCGCTCGTCCCACTCGATTTTCAGATGTAAAATCCTATGAGAAACGCTTATGGCTTTTCACTTCGTTTTATAATGAAGATTGATATAATTTTATAAAACGCGAAAATAAACACCAAAGCACTGAAATCGGCGACTAACGGGATCGGGTGGTCAGGCTCGCTGACTTGGTTGATACATGTCATCGCTCCCAATTGCGTGGATCGATGCTCATGATGTCAATCACTGGATTGTCTGGTCCAGACTCGATTATTTTACAGACCGCCGTCATATGGCTGGAATATTGCTGAGTGCGGCGTTAAACAACAAACAAACAAACAAATCCGATCCAGAAAATATAACGGCGGATCTCTGCGCTTTGTAAAAGTGTAACATTGACCTAGGTCTCTCCATATTTAAAAGACATTCATTTATGAACACAAAAATGTTTTATATGAATAATCTCATTATAATTCTGAATATTTGTGTTTATGCAACATAAGTTAACTTGCTTTTAACATATTTTACACGCACCTTGGTATACACACAAAGATGACATCCTGTATAAAACGATATACACTCAACGATATAACATCAATAAATGACTACACTGAACACAAAAAACAAATAGCATGGACATTCTTAACGGACAAACATAAGAATTTGAGATACACATATTTGTATACATGTACAATCAACACTATGTTTTTATGCATTCGGATATTTTTCAGACCTAAAAAGATATTTATTCTACACATGTATAAGCAGTATATCTCAAACTATCATAATCCCTATTGTAAAATCTCCTAACATATCTGAGATAAAAATGAATTTCTATATACAATACACATACAGTTTGGGGGAAGGATTGCAACAAAAAAGTCAAAGACTGCTCAAACATCCAATATGTTTTCCCTTTTTTATAAAGTGTTTCTCTGCAAAACAAACGTGTATATTTATAGCTATGGATGACAGGTTACCTGATAGAATAAACACACGTAACGGAATGTGAATTAACAATGTGAAGATAACAACGGAGAAAATGGTAATTTAAGCTCATTTTACGTCAGCTTTCGAAAACTGAAAATAAACATATGAAGGGCGGTGTATTGTTGATCAAAGACCTGTGTTTCCAACATTTATGAAATTATAAATTTGAATTTAAACTTTCCTACCAATTAAGAAGTTGTATCAAAATCTGAAAAAATAACCAGTGTGTTTTGATGAATATCTATTGACATAACTATAAACTGGATTTTTTAAACCTTCTGATATGACCTAACCTTGACATCTGTTAAACAGAGCCTGCATGAAGTCATGGATCTCCAATGCCTGAGCTCTGTTCCTAGGGAGATCATGGTGGCACTTTTGAACGACCTCGTGGAGGTCCATCAAATTGCTGGCCACTTTGATTTCACCCAGGACAGCGCAAAGCATAAACATCTGCCTGTGGGGAGGTGACACAGCCCAGCCTCACCTCTGGAGCAAGTCCAGGTTGGTGGCGTGTAGCGCTGGGCAGCTTGAATCTCTTCCCGAAGGACGCCTGTCCAAAGCCAACCAGCTTCACCTCCAGCGTGTCCTTGTTGATGATGATGTTGCTGGAGCAGATGTTGTTGTGAAGGACACTGCGGCTGTGGAGGGTCTTCAGGTGGCTGGACAGGGACAGGCAGATGTTTGTCCAACCGGATCTGGAGACGAAGTATCCAGACTGAAGGAGGTCCTGGAGCGAGATGACGCCTGTGCAGTCTTCCAGGACAAGACTGTATTCCCTCTCCAGGACGCCCTGCTCCAGAACCCCCAACAGCTGCGGCGCGACACTTGTACCAGAGAGAGAGGATATTACTTTGGCCTCGGTCATCACCTCAGCTACAGGCTCGGTCCTTCACAAGAACAGCTGTGTCCTCCACAATGGCATGGAAGAAGGTTGATGTGGAGCCACGACCATGCATGGAATATTCGTTTTCATCAGTTCTCTTGAATTGAACCTGCTTCCTACCTAGTATTGATGGGACGTCATCAGGAAGAACAGCCTGGCTTTTGATGTTCCAGAAATCATCTTCTGAAGGGTCGTACCAAAAGGCCTGTTTCAGAATATCCCCTGCTGGTGTCGGGGCCTTGGGTAATCCTGGCATGACATCCCCTGCTGATGGTGAGGCATTGGGGACGCCTGACAGGTCAGACGAGCATCTATCACCTGTCGACTCAATCCCCTTATCCCCCCTCGACCTCTGGAGTATTGACCGGCTGTGTCTGTGGGGAACTTTCCGGTGTCTGATCCAACCTTCCCTTTGTGGAAATGTCAGAGGGAATTCCAATTTCATCTGAATTTCCAGGGAATGTTTCATCCTCAGCACTCGGCTTGACGGCGATTTCTTGCGTGTTCCTTTTTAATACCTCCTCGGCAGATGTTTGGAATTGTTTAAAATCTGGATAGGTGTGACCAAAGGGCAGGAGTTGGTTCTTGTACCACATCCAGAGTGGTTTCTGCTTCCGTTTGTGTCAATCTTGGAAGACGCCAATAGCTGTTTCTTTGCACCAGGTGCCGCTCAGGAAGTTAGAATTTGTATTCTTGGATCGTGCCATGTTCCTGGGAATGAAATAAACAACAGTAATGTTAGCAGTTGTAAGTGTAGTTTGTAGTCATAGGGGTGTGTAGACAAATGTAGAGATTTCAATAAATGATTGGTTGGTTGGTTTGTTGTTTAACGCCGAACTCAGCAATATTCCAGCTATATGACGGCGGTCTGTAAATAATCGAGTCTGGACCAGACAATCCAGTGATTGATATCATGAGCTTCGATCCACGTAATTGGGGTCGATGCCATGCATCAACCAAGTCAGCGAGCCTGACCACCCGATCCCGTTAGTCGACAAGCATAGTCGCCTTTTACGACAAGCATGGGTTGCTGAAGACCTATTCTACCCCGGATCTTCACGGGGATCAATAAATGAGATCAGGTTTTTATTTACCTGATTTGATGTGAAGTCATTGATGCGCGACACTCCGGTGGAAGGCGACATCGCTCATTGTTGTCGGCAATGTTGTGGAGCCCGGTACGCATTGCCTGCAAAAGATTACCAGACCTTTAATGTTATTCCTGTTTGTTAAAACCGGCTTAGGAAAAACCAAAACACATACATTTGCTCCTCTTTGAAATAGAAAGTGGTGATTATTATTAACAAATAAACCAATCTGTCACTACCCGTGTGTACACGCCGAAATACCTTAGAATGTTATGTCTCAAATCTCAATTGATGGGTCAATATAATATCCTTCTGGCATTCAATGTAGGCGGTCGTGTCTCATCCACCCCTTCGTTCCGAAGAATACATCAAGATATTTATGTTGAATATTATTTTAACATAATCACCAAATTGTGTGAAGGGATAGTTTTTTCAATTTCCTTTTTGTGCTTGAATATTTGGTTTTGTCGGAGAAACAGGTGAGAGGTATATCGTTTGCATACAAATTGTAAAGTTTATAGGAACTGGTTCGGTAATTCTCACACTGAAAAAAATATCAATAAACTACGTAAATAAAAAAATAACACTAGCTAGAAAAAGTAAGAAAAACTTCATGCATGACAAAATATTGTTACCAATTTTCGGAATATGTAAACTTTACCTACACTGTATTTACTGTCCATTAGGGCCCGGCACTGCTCCGACAGAAGCGACAGAGCCTACACTGACTAGCGAGGGAATGAGGTCTGCCGCTACTAGTGACTCTCGCCACTTCGTCACCCTCGATGCTGATGAGATCATTGTAATAAACTCGAAGGCACAAAGCACCAACAAAAACACTAGTTGGGCGATTAAGATATTCAAACGTAAGGAAGAATTATATTAAATAATTATATTTAGATCTACTACTTATGAAAAAACAAAGAAAATATGAAAATGTGACGAGTTGACATTGAATTGAGTTGGTCTTGCCTAGCTTGCAATATGAAATGCACAATATTTCTTGATATTTACGATATCAGAAATACAAATATTGATAATGTAACCATTGGAATTATTTCTTACCTACTTCACAAGTCCTCCGGTAACAGAATATTAATTTCTATTTCCAGAATGGCTTGCTTTGCGAGACAAATCGCCAAGTTTTGAGACCCTTTCACCTCAAGAATTAAACAACTCATTGAAAGTTTTTTACGCCGAGGTCCGAAATTCCAATGGACAGTATTATTCGAAGTCCTCCTATGTCGGCATTAGATCTGCGATTCATCGCCATCTCCGTCAACCACCGTATGAGCGTTCATTTAACATGCTGCAGGACCAAGAGTTCGTCAGTGCGAACAATGTCTTCATGGGGATGCTTCGAAAAATTAAGAAACTTTGGTTGGATGTATCTACTGACTATGAGCCTATTCCGGGGGGGAATTGGTGAAAATCAGATCTAATCAATCAGTAGACGATCCAGTTAGCTTTCAAAAGAAGGTCTGGTTTGATCTGACAGTAGGATTTGGCAGGCGGGGGATTGAAAATCAACGTGACCTCACTCGCAATTCTTTCCGTGTCGAGGTCGACGACGTAGGGTGCGAGTTTATCACTAGCACACACAGTGAGTTGACAAAAAAACACCGTGGCGATCTTCGTGATTCGAACGAACCAAATCCACGCATATATGGCACTGGTACCCCTTCCTTTCCCGTTGCTTCATTCAAACAGTATGTTTCAAAATTGCATCAAGAAAACACTGCTCTCCTCCAAAGACCACGAAAACTCACAAACACGCCTCCCGACACTCACTGGTACACCGCACAGGCACTTGGCCACAACAGTTTGTCTAAAATGATGAAATCAATTTGAGAAGAGGCAAAGTTGAGCAAAACATACACTAATCACTGTGCCAGGGCCACAACGGTCACACCACTTTCTCATGCTGGGGTGGAATGCCGCGAAATAATGAAATTGACAGGGCACAGAAACGAACAGTCCCTCATGTCATATAATTGTGATTCTTCCTCGGCTCATAAAAGGCGGTATTCAGCCATTGTCAAGGGTGGTAGCAATATCACACCAGTAGGGATAGTTGGTTAACATGTTAATGTTGAACAGCATCACACGCACAGTACTGGGTTGTCTTCTGGTTTCCTGCAATTCTTTAACAGCACTGTTACTGTTAACAATTTCTTTGCGAGCCATAGTGACAACCGGGACACGTTAGGACGGTTCTCAATTCAGGGTGGGGAGATATAATTCAAAGATTCACACATTCAAAATAAATGAAAGTGATATCTAATTAATTTTGTTGAGAAAAAAATAATTGTTCATTTTTTTGGTAACTTTTTCTGAAACCCACGAACGGGTAGATTTCTACTTTCATTATTGAAACAACCGACAATGAAAGTGAAATAAACATAATAAAATGTGTTTGAAGACATTTTATTCGTGACAACATGGTGTTTACAAACTTTTTTTGATCGATATCCATTGCCATCTCCGTCAACCGCCACCGTTAGAATTTGGCAGGAGGGGATTTGAAAGTGCATCAGAAAACACTCCACTTCGAAAGTCCACGAAAACAATGTCCCAACTGAAGTGGCAGCTTATCAAACTTGATGAAATTCATTTCAGAACACGCACAATTATGAAAATCATACACGACCTACTATTTCTGGACCAGAAATGTCTACGTTCTGTCACTATTTGGCTTTGGATCCGTGAAATCTTGAAATTGACAGCTCACACCATGCAGATTCCTCGATTCAAAATATCCGGCTCGTCTGCAGCCTAAACAGCGGCTGTTCAGTCATACTCAGTTCCATTAGTAATCATATGGATGTACCCGCAGGCTCGATCAATCCCAGTAAATCTACAGGTAAATGTTGAACCACATCATAGATCGGGGTTGTCATCTTGCTTCTTTTAACTAGATCTAGAGAATGTAAACACATGATTGTCAGCCATTGACAGCTGTGAGGTGTGAGTAACCGTGATGTAGGTCAAGTTCTGCCACATCCAAGTTCGGGGTGGAGAGGCATTTACTTTGATGTTATTATTGTTTACTGGGGGTAATTGCTATCTAACTAATAACTTTTACACATGTTAAATGTTTATTAGAGTGTTAATTCATAAAGTTTGCTGTAGAAATATATTCGTTTAGCCTTTTAAAACCTTTTTCTATTACCCGTCACCCCTACAATAGAAATGATGGCATGTTCGATTTCCAAGAAATGACCTCTCGCACAAATTTCCGAGAAACGACAGCCACTCCACAGTGTACAACAGTTTGATAGAAATTAAAACATCTCTCTCAAAAAATCGTGCGTATGTATACATCGATATTGTTTGGTGAAAAGGCTTGACCTTTTTAAAGGGGGTTCCGTAACAAAAAAGAAAACCTCTTATTAACCAATCAGAATCAAGCATTCAACAATGTCATGGTAGAATTAGGAGATAAACCTACTGTGTTTTGAAATTGTGTGTTTCCAAATTATAATAAAAAGGTATCTATTCTACAGTGGGACTACATCAAATTTCAAAACACAGTAGGTTTATCTCCTAAATAAACAAACAAGGCTTGTCATCGAGCCTCTTCTGTTATGTTCTTTTACGTCAAGGCAACCAAACGGTAGTTGCGCCGCCATTTTGGAAGAGTGCGATTCGTGGCTTGCAACGCGCCCTAGACTTATGACTTGAGCAAGAACAGGGTCGAGATTTTCGAAACGATCTTAACTACGATTAATCGTAACAACATACATTAAAAGATCAGATATATTTAGTTAAGAAATTATATAGATATTTCGCAGACCTACAAAGTTACGTTACCTTTCGTAACTGTGACAGAGAACTCATTATAGATTGAAAAAGCTGTTTCCCCAATGACGTCACGGGGATTTCCCAGTCGTT